TCTTCACCATCACATCTCACAATGAACATAGACACATCTTGGCTATACTCCAACGTAGCATTCGTTGGCAACGACTCAGTCCTATTAGCCTCGTTATCGTTGATCGGCAAGGAAAGAAAATTTGTGGAATATCCTTGAGAGACTATGTTATCTGTGTCTAGATAAATCTCTGGATTCTCCTGAAGCGAAAATTCGTTAAACGACATGGGCAGGTTATTGTTCAATGTTAAGAACCAAGCACTCATAACCCATGAGGGTATTTTATAGGGAATTCAAAGACATTATTATTAGTATGTTTTGTTTTGCTTATAGTACGGGCTGGCTAATTCTCCCAAAAAGCAACATTTCCCTTGTACTACCATCAAAAAGGAAATGAGACAGTGATGATTACCATGTATGTAGTAGTAGTTAGCAGGAAGTGTAGTCGTTAAATGCACACCGAGCCTGTAATAGAACTGCTGTTTAAAAGCGTTCGAACAGTCTTTTGCTACACTACGCCTGTTGCTTTCAGGATGCATTGGAGCTTGAAATATGTAAGGGATGTCACAAGTAGTCTTGAACATGTTACATGTCTGATAACATTATGCTTTTGATATAAAAAAGAGGCGCAATACTGATTGTTATTATGCTGAATTAGCGAGGCTTGACCGTTTCAGAAAAGTAAATGAGACGTTAAAACTGTTCTTCTGTATTGCGCGTAGTTAAGTAAGAGCTAATAATAAAGAACCAAACTTTACTAACTAAGCTGTTTTTTAAAAACTCTCGAATAGTTTCGGTGTATCAAAAACCAAGAGTAGGAGAGACTTTGCGTGTCCTTTTGCTGGTTTTACAGCCAAGATCCTGTGCTAAGCAACTTGTGCTTTCTCATAATTGAGCTTATTAACCTTCATTCTTACAATCAAATCGCTGCTACTGATCGCTTTTACCAACGTCTTTTAGGTAACATTGGCATTCACGATTTGATGGTCAACAGAAGCGTATCGATACGGGTTTACAAAGTTAGCTAACCAGACAGCATATTAATAAGTTCCGAACTGTTCTATTTGTTGACGTTCGCTATAGAGATAAAATTCCGCTTTAACGAATAGGCCCGCATTAATGAAGATAGTCAATGGAACAGAGCATTTCGTTATAACGGCACACGAAGTACGTTATTCTTTAGGACCACACTTTGCGAGGAGTTTGTAGTATGGACCCATGCCTGTTTCTACAAAGAAAATAATATATATAAATCCATTACTAATTTACAAGTTAAATGCGCATACTACAAAGTATTTCAATAAGAATTAGGGAAGTTTCACTGATTCTCCGAGGTTAAGATAGCATTAACAACCCAAAATGTAAAGGACACAAGCGCATTTTTCTAGCAGGCGAACGAGAAAAGAACCATTCTGCGACTAAACGAAAATCCATTATATTTATCAGAAAGATTTAGATATTCTTTCCTACACAGCTTTGCATTTCACTGAGCAATCTTTTGGTATTCGATGTGTATCCGTAAAAGCGGCGACTTTAACGAACCTCCAACAGACGTTATTCGTAAATCATTTGATCTTTGACATAATACTAATATCAAACAACACGTTTCGACTTGTGACTTTGATAGTAATAGAACTGGGTTCTTTGACTGCCTCCAGCAGCCTAAGAAACGCGTGACCATATGCAACGAGTCATTCTCGATCTACAAATAACTTTGGGCAGGGTTACTTGACATGGTTATCCATGTTACACACAAACTTTCAATATGTCACATTCACACCGTCTCATACTAATACTCGGCTTTCAAACCAAAATACTTATAGATGGTATGCTTAATCCCTCCTACTGTCGTTTATTCTTGTGACTTCTGTAGAGTCCTTCGCTTTTCTCTTTTAAACACTGTTGACGATGCTTGATTTATCTCTTAGGAATCTAGTCAGAATCTTCTCTCGGCCGCCGCTCCCTTTTCGGGAGTAGAACAAGACGTAGAAACGGGGACCGAGACTTCTTCAACCACACAGAATCAGGGCGGGAATACTAGAAACCCGAGCATTTGGGAGCAGTCAAGGTTGGACATATTTATAGATCTTGCTTCGCTACTCGGTCCGAGTTTCGTAACTCTTTGATCTGATCTCTCACTAAAAAAAATATAAAAACTCTCTTTAATGTGACATAGTCACCCAGTAGCCTTGGGCTTCCACCTCTTCTTTCGCACTTCTGCACTACTCGTCTATCTCTTTGGAGCCTTGTTCACCTCAAATTTTCCTTTAATATTTATTATTTGTGTATTGTTATTATCGTTTGATTTTTGGACGGTGAAGAATGTCACGGGCCGATTATTAGTCGGCTTGAGATGGTGGAATGATATTCAGGAAGATGGAACAAATGTTTGGATGTTTGAGAGTAGGGATGTAAGTGAAAGCTATTTCTATTACGCATGTTAACCGATCGCTATGTTTTTGTACACATATTTACATGCTCACTTTCCCTCTTGCCATCAATCTCCTTTTATCCTTTTCATACTTCAACGTTTAGCCTTCACGGCCAATCAATCAAACTGACTCGAGAGTATTTTGGATATCGCTTTACGTAACTCTTGTAATATGGTTTTTCTTTGGCTTCTTTGCTCTCATCAAACCGCCGTGGCTTTTGATCGTCGTCGTGGCATTGACATTGAATATAGCGAATGTGATTGGATATACTCAATGCGATAAAGATGCAAAACGTAAATGGGCCAGTGGACTTGCTGCAAGAGCAGCATCAAGTAATTCTGGTGTGATTGGGAAGTTGTTCTCGTTCGGATTCGGAAAGTTATTCACGTAGAGAAAATAGTTGATGAGATGTGTGAAGAGGGCATGTGTGTTGGCGATTACGCGGGTGTTTAGGAAAAAGGTAATTGATGAACAATAGATGAAAATACAAATGATTACATGTAATTGTTTAGAATCGTTGTAGTTTAAAACTTCTAGTAGTGGATATATATGCCACACATCAGTATATATTGTGCTACCTTACAATAAAAACTATTGTTAATATTCTCCTGTGGCATCGTCAGAGATGTAGGGTACGTCATAGCTTCACATTAGGATTTGCCAATCTCATATGCCTCTTTGGCACACATGGTTAACTGGATCATTATTCACGAATTCTTCATGGGAAAGCAAGATGCAATGGTAATGGGGAAGAGTGGGATAAAAGTGTCATTGTTGAAAATGATATGGTTTTGGAAATGTGGCAGAAGTAAAATCCACCATACATATACAAGCATACAATTTCCTATGATTTCTTAATCTCACTATACAGTAATAATAATAATAACAATTCCTATTTTAAAAATCATTTTGTCAAACAATTAATAAAGCATAACTAATTCTTTCTAGCCTTCTTTGCCTTCAGATTATCATGGTGGACAATATTCTTGCTTTCCTGGAGGAGCTTGACAACCCAAAGAAAATTCACAACTGTTTTGAAGTAGTTCCCCTTCATTCTGTTCTTCTGAACTATCTTTCTCTACAGGCTTAATTATATTGCTCACAATGATCTAAAAATTAGGAGTTTCATTTAGCAACATTATTGTCAGGACTCATAGTAATAGGGGACTATTGACATTGTAATTGTTTTAATATTAAAAAACATTCAAACACAAAGCATATTAATATTAATATACCTTTGCTTTCCATGCCAATACTCGATATAATAGAGGCTATGGTTCTGACCCTTTTCTCCGTTAAATCAAGAGATCCACTAAATCGAGTTTTCACAATATAAATATACTGGATATCATAACAAACCATGTTATTATTATATCAACTTTATTGGCGATCTTCAAATAATTAATATTTGCTTAGCATAAATTATGAAGGCCTTACTTGAACCAGGATAGATGGCTAAGGTGCAATAGGGTTGAGCCTTCCTATATTCTTCGTCAAACTGCTTCATTAAATCATTGCCGTCGTATATCGGCGCGTTGACGAAGTATCTGTGAATTTCGGTTAGATTATATGAGTGTATGAACATGCACATGCTCATGCGAGTTTTCGAGGAGTGCACATCCGGATTGTGTTGAAAATTTTCAGATCCCGTCTTCCCATTGTTTTCCTTTGATATCAATGCAGAGACGGTTCGATTTGCGTTCTTTCTTGCTGATGATGCTAGACTGGACGACTCTTCCCTGTTATAATAGTTAACATGAGAAAAGCTTAAGTTTACCCAAAAGACAAGACATGAACAAACAATCTTCAAACCTTATGGCCTAATGTTTTCAAAACATTTGTCAATAAAACTTGTCAAGTCAACAATCGCAGGAGCAATCAATCGGGGGAAACTGTGGCCTCTCCTACTTTATATTGTCAAAGCTCAAAAAACCGATGGCAATTTCCGCGTAGGTTTCGAAAAACTGATATAGAGGCGCAATATCGGTTTTGAGGAACTTTTAATATTGGACTTATTTTTATCGGATAGCTGACATATGATGAAAGTATAAAATAGATATTAATATATTTAGTCCCGTTTTTTTACGAGAGTAGAAGATCATCTGAATACTGTAAGTTGTATTCTGAGGAAGGTTGATACGACCGGAAGTCTTACACGATGGGTTATGGTAGTAACTTATTGACTAGACTGCCATCGCGCTTAACAGTAGAAGAATATAGCACGACTTACTTTTACGTTCGAAAAAGCGGTTTAAAAGCTGTTGACGTTAGCGAAAAGAATTTAAGATTTAGTGCCTAAAAATGGGCAGTCCCGTGATAATTAGCTCAATGGGTTATTATTATCATTATTGGTTAAAACACGTCAATACACACGAAAAGGAATAAACTTCAACAACCCAACGTGTACCTAAATAAAGACCTCGAAAACTCAACAACCCAACTATCTCAACCAAGTTGATTGTTGGCAACGTTTGTTACATGCCAGAGTTTCCATCAATCAAGGTTTGTCCGACTACTATAGCTCCTCAACTATCAACGTTTAAGATTCAAATCTTCTTTATTCAGCCTTCTTTTTTTCCTGCCAAGAGTAACTTCTTAAAGTTTGCAATTTCATATTTAACTCCTCTTGTTGCATGTAGAACGAAAGACTGTCAATAATAATATTATTAATAGCTTCTGATGATACCTTTCTCACTTTCTCCAGCAATTAAGTAATTTCCTTTTTGTTAGACGAGTGATTTTACATTGACTATTATTCGCTAAACGTACATTGGGATCTTGTCTGGAATATATCTTAAGCATTTATATCTTTCTATGCTATTACAAATATATAACAATTAAATAAGAACTTACAGCACTTCTAATCTAATCACTACTCTTAATGGCCTATTAATATATATTTAGGCAATTAATAACACAAAGACAAATATTAAATAAACATATCGTCGAAAGTCAGGTTCACCTGGTACACAGTAGCATATATAAAATATTTAATGCCTATTATATATTATATCGTAAATATTATTTCGCTAATGAAGGTTAGGTTCGCCTCAATATTAATATTTTTCTTTTCACTGTAATGCTTCTATTGAATTTTCATCAAGAGTATCCGCATTTCACTTCGTGTCTCTATGGCTCCTGCAGATAAGTTCCGAATAGTTTCTCTCCAGATTTTTTCTTCGAAAACAAAAACTACAAGAGTGTAGAACTCTCCCTGCCTCCCTCATTTAGCATCCTGAGGTCGGCCAATACTCTACTAACATTTTTGGCATGGGTTTCCCTTCATTGACAAAATAACTTAAACAAAACAATGATAAATCCACAAACCTTTGTTGTATCGAACGAGTATCAACCTTCTAATGAGTATATTTCAGCTTATTATTCGAATATTTGTTCTTCATTTTGATAATACAGTAATATCCCTTGCTGTCCTCTACTGGCTACTCGAAAACCAGACTTTGCATTTATTGCTAAAGATGATCCTCTAGGCATCGTGTGTTGTGAGAAATAAGGAAACGATCTGGCACTAACGCAGATATAGGACACGCTATATCATTCGGTGAAAAGGTCCTCGGCGAGCCTATGTATACGTGATTTCCGTGCTGCAACGGTCCGTATTTGCATCTGTAATAATAATTAGGTGCGACTCTAATAATAGTGACAACTTACCCAGCAGTTGGGTGGAAGTACCTAGTAACGATTATGGGATGTGACTCTTCTGCTTTACCTTCATAATAATATAAACATTAACATTCTAATCATTCTTTAATAAGTATTAGTATCCTTAATATTAAGCTTAAAACTAGTTCTAGCGGTTGACCGCTATATTGTTATTATTGTTATAAACTCGGAGAATGTTCCTCCGGCCTATCGACAATTGACTCCGAAGCGATTGTGTGATTATAATAATACAAATAAAAACTACTCCGGCAACGTGATCGAAGTCCATTACACAGAACTGGGCACAGAAATAAATGACTGCTGTGCATCCAGACTTTGGCAGTTTGACATATACTCTACTCTCTTCATTATGGAACCAAAGCTAATTGAGCTTACTTCCTTATCCAAGAAGGCCCTGTCTTTTAGCGAGACTTTGTGCTCCAAGGCTGAAGCTCTTATAAAAGACTGCAAAACTGATATAGACAGTGTGGAAATAATATACCCCAAACTGCGCTTTCTTTGGTATGAACTTCAAGTTCAGGCAAAGGTGCGTTGACTGAAAACAAACCCTCCGGTAATGGTTCTTTTTTATACACCTTTCGCACTAATCTACTTTCCTCTTCCAGTCACTTGACAGGTTGAAAGAAATTGCGATAAATCAAACCAATAGTTTGAAGCTGTATAATTCTGTAGGTAAAAATCATTCTATTACAAAAGCTCGCTGTGGTACCTTCCAAGTTACGTGCATGCTAAACCCCTTAATCTTACATAGAACAAGGAGAAGCAATTGGCTGCTATTTACGAAGAGCTTGATAAGGTCTTGGATAGTTTACGCAATAAAATTGTAAATCCCGCGATACGAAAGAGCGCATTAACATTAGATGACGAATCGGTGGATAATCCAGAGGCCATGACAAAGGGCATAGAGGGCGAGCGGACTGAGCGCGAAGGGAATGATAAGGTGTCTTTATACGATTACATTGATGAGATTAGCGTGCAAGATTTGAAGCGCAAAACGCAAGAGGAGGTTACAAACATACAAGTAAGCCCATAACTCATATGATCTCTCTAAAATGAGAATATAATACCGATTTCATGCAGTCTCGTATTATCTTGGCTGGGTATTGACTATTTTAACCTTTATTTAACAAAGCAATTCCAATCAGTCAGCTCCAATATTGTCACTCAAATTAGCGCCCATATTAGCCACTTTCGTACACTCTTCAATAACTGTCCGATCGATCTTGAAGAGTCAAGTGTTGCATTCCTTCAAGAAAAATCGTCCATACACGAACAAGAAACCAAGGTTATGGCTGAGAGTCTACTTTCTTTAGCTAGACACGATGAACAAGTCAGCGCAGCATTGAAGTAAGTAGTGAATATTCTTTATATTAATTTGATTTGGCAACAATGGAATGTGTGCTGAGGGGTTTGTAAATACGAGGTTAGCTCATTTCTTTGGGTTTATTGCGTAGATCTTGTCAATCAAATGCTGAAATGAGTTTACAATTAGACATTTCTGGTATGCATGATTCATATTTTCTTGGTGACATGCTGTCTTTTTTCACAAGATATTGATTATGAAATTTTTGTGGGTTAGTTCTTGAGAAAGATACGCGAGAACTGCCAACGGTGATTGAAGAACTGAAGGAATCACTTCAAATCATAAAATCAACAAGGTCAGTAATTGTCATTATTTTATTAGCCACTGTGGGAAAAAAAGGCATCAATTTTAACTTGGTATCGGGCATAATAAGTAGTTTAATTTTATGTATATTGAAGCTTGACCATTTTTTAGTATTGCTTAATCTTTTTTCCTTGATTGTAACTAGTGAAGAGATAAGCGTGCGGAGTCAGGTGTATAATGCATCATATAATGAAGCTGTTAAAGTATTCGACGAATTGGACGCATTTGGAAGTAAAATGGAAGAAATTGTCGCTGCAATCAAAGCCAATGAGGTCGGTTTTAATATACATTTGACTCTATCGTGTAATATTGAATGTTATTTAACATTAACCTAGACATATAATCACTTTTCAGGCTGACTTTGAGAAAGGACGTATTATTGTTGATCGCTTTATAGAAGAACTCTGGAATCTTATTGGATGGTACGTGAATTAATTTGATCTGGATCTTAAATACCTAATATTTTATGGCTAATTTTTATACGGATTGAATAGGTATGAGGAGTTTTTGAAATCATACGATTACTTGATTATCGAGATTGATCGGCGTCAGTGTGTGGGAGAACAGCATATTAAATTGGCAGACGAGTTCTACGCCAAGCTAGAAAGTCTCTATCTGGGTAAGTTTTACTTGGATGAGTTGTTTTGATGAAATAAGTAAATAATACCATGGTAACCGTCTGGCTTTGACACTGTATTAGAGGAAACACAGCAGAGGAATTTATTCTTCCAGATGCATGGACAATACATACCAATGGATTTATGCCCTCCAATCCAAGTATGATAAAGTGATACTGTTGAACCAAACCATATTTTATCTTTTCTGCACAATAACATTAAAACTCTGAATTTTTATTCACTCAGGAGCAGCCAATAAGATACGAAATCATTCCTCAAACAAGTACAAAATTACCTACAATTCCACCAAAGGCGTTGGCTGAGGTAAGTTAGCAAGTGTAATAGCATGACACAATCTAATCAAGCTCGTATAAGACTAATTGTTCTGCAACTGATCATAATCATTTTTAACAGGCTCAGGCTAATGTAGACAAATATAGATCGAGTGCACAGTAGGCTAATGTATAGGAAGCCTCTGGTAGGAGTTTTTTCTAAACAATTGGTATTGAATGCCGGGTTCCGTTGTTATGCTTTAATGGAATCCATAGCTTTTGTGTCACTAATTATAAGTCTACAATCTTTTTTTGTATTCGTTCAGAGAACAAGTCGCACATTATGATGACGCCTCATAATCAATATTCCAATATTATGTTGAACAAGGTAATAATATAGTTATCAACACTCTTTGAACACATTTGTTATTTAATAAGTAGTTCTTTATATTGTACATGCTATTGTTGACACATTCTATGTCTATGAAATGTTATGAATAATATTCAATAGACTGAAATTCTCTGAACATTTATTCTTTAGGGTGCACTCCTCCCCAGCGCACTGCAGATTGCATAGCCGGCCATAACGAATAATAACAAAAGGTTACGTTGTTATTATTCCATAGTACTTTCCGTCCTCCTTGATAAATAAATATATTGTCATCTAATTTTAAATTATCGTAAATCAGCAATTCGTAAGTCTAGGTTTTTGTTAATAACATGTCCATTTTTAGATATGTCCTGAAAATAAAAAGAAAATGTAAGCGACTGTGATATAAGAGTATATACATCGAAAAGAATATATTTGCAATCGTTAGATACCACAAAAAGTTCATCTTCTGCGTGCGGATGGAATCCTCTCTTTGTACATTTGATTACAGCTTGAAGTCCAGGTGGATTAGAAAGACGGAAAATACGGATGCTAGAAAAATCAACTGCATTTAGGATTATTCACAAATATAAGCAGGATATTCAAACGTCAAAATGACAACATACTCGTTGTACTTTGGTGCACAGACAATAGCAATGGCTTCTGGAATGCCCCATTGATAGGATGAGTGAGTATGCAAATCTATCGAACTCATAAAGCATGTTTGGGTGGGATGGGTCTAAAATGAGGAGAAATAATGATTTGTGAGTTATTTGGAATTAACACGTTGATGATTATCCGCAACTCACATGTATCCATCCTAACGTCAGTTCGTTCGGATTCACACATTCAAGGAGTTCTTCTTCGTTTATCATGTTGCAACTGTCTGAAGTAGCAGTTTGCTTGGGAATTATTAAAGACGTGATACAGAATGAGTTGTGCGACTGGAAAATAATAAAACATTCTGTCAGTATGATCGAAAGTCGTAAAATCTGGTAGATTGAACAATGATGGTAGTAATTTTTTACCAAAGTTCCAACTAAAATACCAAGAGTTTCCAAATTATTTTTTGTGTTCTTTGCGGCGATTTTTAAGAATTCCCTGGTCAACTTGGATGGCAAATATATTGTTCGTAGACCTTCTCCGCCTTCCGTATATGCCTTGTAATCTACCTCTGCAATATAAACATTACGTATGAGCACAGTCCAACGTTGCTAAAACAGATATCTACTTGAACCGGACAGTTTTCTCGTACCTTCGACATAGCCGTCTTCTATCTTTCCATCTACTTGAATCTCTGGTTTAACTTGGAGCGTAGCCGCAGAAATTGTGTTCTTATCGTCCATTGTATAGTTTTCCAACTTTGGTGGTTTAGGTGGTCCGTGAGGCACTTTTGGTGGCAGCCGTGGAACAAAAACGTCCGCGTCTTCAACATCATGTGGCAACTTTGGCGGAATAGCAGGTGGTGACTTTGATGGTGGAGGAGCAACTAATTCCGGCGGCACCGGTGGCAGTGCTGGTGGCGTAAAAGGCGAGGGTCGATCGTTGAGACCAGTATATGAATACCTATTCGTGAAGCGGTATTGGTGGGTTGAGCCCAATACGAAAGAAAAAGAAGAAAAAAGTGAATGGTAACAGATTGAACTGCCTACCCGTCACTTTCATTTCTTAGTGATACAGTGGGATATTCTACTTTCTGAACAGATCGGTGAAGATTGTAAGTCAAGTGTATATATAACAAACGCTCGTGATCCGCACATGCTTACCGTAGTAGCTCCTGGCGCATTTCGTTTCGAGGATCTAAATTATAACACAATTGAAAGACCAGTTATGGAGAAAACCATCACACATTATATAATGTAAATCGCAAATAAAGCACGCAAAGGATACAAATTGTTCGAACTGTATTCGCTGTAATTTTCTTTTTCAGTCCGCAGTTTATTCATTTGATTTATCAAAGACCATTCTTCAACCCTTCTAGCAGACATTTGATCTGCTTGCTGGGTATGATCTAATATTCTTGCTTCCTTTTGCCTCCTCGCACGTTCTTCTGCTTCCTTCCGATGTGCTCTTTTTGTCGCTTCCAGTTCTGCTCTCATCTGCTCTTCGCGCATATGTTCAAGCTTTGGTTTGAGAATTGCCATTTCTGTAAGTACCTTATCCGCTTGCTAGAATCAAATAGAATGTAAGCGCTTCTAGTCGACCGTTAATATTATCATTCCAAAGTCGTCACAAATAACATAGTTTACCCTTTTCAAGTCGGCTATCATTTTTTTGCTCTCCGGTTTGTTATACTCCGGGTGTGCTGGCAACTTGTCAAGAGTGATTCTAGTATCATTAATATCTGCAGATCAATATTCAAGCTCTCCAAAATGCTTAAAGACTAACTGATTAAATTCTTACACGGCAAATTTCATATAAAATTTGAATGCGTTAAGAACATCTTGTTCAAGTTTATACTGTTCCGCCTGAAGGAGCAGTAAGCACGTTAAGTAATGGAAGTCCAGAGAATTATACAAAAGTGCTATAATATACCTGTCGGAGAACACTAGATATTGTCCGTAGATAGATCTTGAGTGCAATATGCGTGTGCAATTCAAGCTTTGAGGCTTCTGCTGAGATCTCTTTTATGGTGGGTATTCTTTTGGTGAGCGGAGCCGTCGACATTTTGTAAGATTGTTATAACAAGTTTAATTATAGTGGAGAGAATCCGCTTGGTTATAGTTATTGTCATCGGACAGAATTACAGTGACGGGTATGTTACACAGGTGGTACCTTGCAAACGCGTCCTAAAAAGGTACGCGAAGTAAGATATAATATTCTCCAACTATCGGTAACCGCTGAACTGGACACTATGGAAGAGTTTGCCTTGAGCGAGGAACTCGAAAAACTTCAGGAGGAAAATTATTATCTCAAGACTCTAGCCAATCTAAGAGAAGCCGACTTGATACAAATCAGTAGGGAACTACAGAGTAAGTGTTTTGTTAGAATAGATTCCAAACAGAATTTGGTATTAACAAGCTGTTTCAATAATATAGGCTGTCTTGAAAAGGTAGAAGAAGACCCGCAGAACATATTCAACACTCAGTTATTTGCACGCTTGAAAAGCATTACAAAGTACGTATGCGCAAGTCTTTTGGCGATAGTCAATGAAAGATCGATACACCTGTTAATTACATTAGCATTCATTAGAAAATTCAGCAATCTGAAACCACCGCAGATATCTCAACTTATTAATATAATAATCACAGGTAAACGAGTGATTTTGTTGGCATCAAGCCTTTCTAACACTATAGTTGACATGACGTTAAACTTTGAACATGCAAGGCCTTGCAACTGAATGTGAGAACACATCAGGCGATCTTCAAGCCAATGATGATCAGACATTTGACAGTCACCGACAAGCACTCAATATGTGGAGCTTTTTACTCGGTTGGGCTACATATTTAGCAGAAAACAAAGCACAATCAAAGCAGAATCAGAAAGAGACTGGAGAATTCACTAGCAGATCGGGCCGAGTATGCGGACAATATTTCGACGAGGATCGCTTCTTTGGTTTTGCTACATAAATTAATATGATTATTTTTATAGCGCGGAAAAGAACGAAACAATGAACCGAGTCAATGGAATTGGGATGAACAAAGAAAGGCTACCTTGACTGTGATGGTAAACGTATTGAAATTGAATCTTGAAAGTATATGGGTTATGAAACAGGAATTGGAGACTTTTGTTGGGTAGGGCCACTCACGTTAATATGAAACAGCCTTGGCAACTGTAACTTGCTTATTATTAACCAAAACCCTGGTATATCTAGAATATTTACAAAGACAGTTTTCCTAATATTGGAAAGTCCACTAAATATCAAAGATCAATCGACCAAAATGCACTTGTTTGAAATACTAGCCATCTCGACGAAAAACTATAAGCAAACCTTTGGTAAGCTGTTTATCGTGTTGTCTAGTCGACTACATCAACAACTTTTATTAGAGATTGACAATGGCTGACTTCGTTTTCTCTAGCAATAAAAACCTCCATCCTCCAACATCTTCGCTATTACGAACACATGCCGGAACCAACGGCCGAGCTACTCGGATATTTACATAATAAATACACGTACACACAATTAACTGACGATATACTAATGTATGTGCCAAACAGTCGTACGTTACAAGAAATGAGGCCTATAAATTAACATGCATTTTCCGCTTGTCAGGGAAATTGGTGATGCTGATCTATCAGTTCAAGACAAGACTGGTCCAAAGCAGTTTTCTAAATTCTTGGTGAGACTGTCAGAAGTAGCGGCTAGCCTTGTACTGAGGCAATTAGTACATGTGATGAAGCATATGGACAGTCCGGTAGAGTATAATGCGATGAAGAAACATTAACCTTAAAAACACCAGCTTACCCGAGTTATTAATATAATAGGTTGGTCCGATGCGTGTGGCTGTCATTGAGATTACTGGAAATCTTATTGAGCATCTGGCAAATAGAGATGAACAGACAGAGTCGGATAAAGAGACTTTGAATAATCTTTTTAATATATTAAAACAGCGTTCTCTGGATCTTAATGGATTTGTAAGAGCAAAAGTGATGCAGGCCTGCATTAAAATATGCGAGTATGTATTCAGTTTGTAATTTGCTATTTTAAAAATTTCCTATATATTTAATTTAATAAACTGTTCTATACTAGCCTAAAGGCGAAGTTTCCCAAAGCGAGGCAGCATCTGGTAGATCGGGCAATCCAATGTCTGAAAGATAAGAGTGTAATTGTACGCAAATACGCTATACAAGCACTGGCAAAATTTATCCGAACTCATCCATTCGGTATGGTCTATGGTGGGGAACTTCGATCGCAACCATGGAAGGACGGGTTAGCGAAAATCAATGAGGATTCTTCGGTACATGTTCTACTAAGTAACGTAATTTTAAATTGGAATTCGGAACATATTTTCTAAACAAATTTGAAATATCAGTCTATAGAACCTCCCGAGGAGCTTTCTCATATTACACAGGAGTCCCCTCCGTCATCTCCACTCGCTGATGCCCAATCATCCCGTCCCTCATCGCCATCACCAATATCTTCCAACGTTTCTCCAGAGTACTACGAAAAACTCAACTTAACCAAAAGATATTATGCCGATGCCTTGCGTTTCATCGAATCGCTTTCAACGGCTATACCAACATTATTTCAGTTATTGGACTCGATCAATAAATCTGAAGTTATTGAAACTATGGAGTTTTTTGTTGCAGCCTATCAGTACAAATTGGATCGCGCCGAAGAGGGATTGACAAAAATGCTACATCTGATATGGTCACGAGAGACAGATGAAGGAAAGAGTGTAAAGAAGAAGTTGATAGAATGTTATCAAAATGTTTATATATCAACTGGAGAAGGTGCTGCCGAGATAGAAAGAGTTGAGCAAACAGTTCGGAATCTTGTTAGGTGAGTATCATCTGACGAGCAAAAAGACGCTTTACTAAGAATAAGTATGGAGATAGGTCGAAGACTTACGCCTATAATTACCTTGCCAGATTGGCCGATACAACCTCTGTTGCAAAATTAACTTCCCTCGAAGAGCTCTTTAGCACAATGATGTCAACAGAACTTATATCACCCGAAGTAATAGAAAGACTCTGGACTGTTTATGGTAGGGACCAGCATTATGATTTAGTTCAATCAAATGTCTAATCCAGAATGCCGATTTAACTATCAACATAAAAGCTGCATCAAATTCTCAAACCAGTGCAAAAGAACGTCGAGGAGCTATGATGGTGCTTGCGAGTTTGGCAAAAGCAAAGAAGGAGATTATCTCAGAGAAACTAAATGTATTGCGTAATATTGGACTTAGTTCTGCTGGAAGGGTAATTACGCTTTCTTCACAAGCGCTTCCATATGCTATTATTTTTATTTTTATTTTTTGACCGCTTTTCTTTTTTGTTGAAATTATAGCAAGATCTCGTGTTGGCAAGATATACTTGCATTGCATTGCAGCGTCTTGCCGGAGAGGCCAAAATCAAAGGTAAGAGTACTTCTTAGTATAAATTAGGTAAGTATACGCGCATTGATTGTCAATTTAATAATAGGTTCACCACGGGATGAATCCACAAGATTACCCGTATCACATCCGATATTTGAAGATCTCCGCAATATACTTGAGATACACACAAACTCCAATCAATGGTACTGATACAGATGCTTATTACGCTTTTAACAATTTAAATTTGAGGTTTAACTTGTTTTCGTAACCCTACAGGTATCCTCTCGCCGAACAAGCGATAAATGCCATTTATGTCCTATGTAATAACCCAGATATTCTATGCGGAGAAATCATCAAACAAAAGACGATTTTCGTCTTTAAACTAGATGACGACAGTTTTAGGGATGAACCGAGTACAAGTGAACCTGTCACAGTTAATACGACACAATTGAGTCAGTTACTGTTTATTGTTGGACATGTCACTCTCAAACAACTTGTGCATCTCGAGACTATCGAAGCTGAATGGAAAAGACGGAAACAGTCGGGCGAAACGAAAGGTGTCGATTACGATTTCAATATTTGAATAACGAACGCTGTGGCATTGATCGTCTATTGCCTTGATAATTTGCTTGTAATTGAAACAACAGTACTAATGAAAGTCTATTGCATAGATAAAAATCACGTTGAAGATGAATTAGATCAAATTGTTGGAACAACAGAGGATGAGTTTAGTGAAATGATAACACAAATACGGGAATATGAGCTTCTATATGGGGCCAATTCGTTATTGGGCGAATTCGGAGGATTAGTGGCTAAAATCTGTGCCAACAGAAAGGTCTTTAATGTAAGCCATAAAAGAATTCGTTGGGGTATGAAGTAACGCCGATTGCGTCATTCTAAGTTTTTTATATTTGTCGAATTAGGACAATATGTTGCAATTTTCTGCCACACTGGCTCTAGCCAAATTTATGTGTGTCAGCTCGCAGTATTGTGAAACGTATTTGCCTCTACTGTTCAATGTGCTTGAGAAATCAAATGACGATACCCTTAGATGCAATATAATAATTGCGCTGGGAGATTTGGTTGTTCTTTTCAACAACATCATTGATCCAGAGATTAATGTTTTATATGAGCTGCTTGCGGATGAAAGCTTAGAGATCAAGAGGAACGCTTTGATGGTTCTTACACACTTGATCCTCAATGGAATGATCAAGACCAGAGGACAACTTGGTGAGGTGAGTTGAGTTCTTTTGCATATTATATGTAAGGCATTTCCCTTTCCTTGATTTATATGTATTGTTTTAAAAATTCTGAATTTCGGTCATGATTGTAGATGGCCAAATGCGTGGCGGATGAGAACAGCAGAATTAGCAATCTTGCTGGACAATTTTTCACAGAATTAGCCAAGAAGGAGAATGCAGTATACAACAATTTGCCAGATATTATAAGTAATTTGTCACGTGGTGAAAATGCAGTGGACGAAGACTCGTTTAAAAGAATAATGAAATTCTTGTTTAGATTTATCGAAAAGGTTGGTCTAAACAATCATTATTACCATGTAATTATCATATTGTCTTATGTGATATTTGTGTAGGATAAACACTCTGAAAACGTCATTGAGAAGTTATGTCAAAGATTCAAAAATCTTGATGATAAGCGACAATGGAGAGATATTGCTTATTGTCTCTCTCAATTACAATACAAACACGATGGCAGTGTCAGGAGATTAGTCGAGGGCTTTCCTAATTATCAAGACAAATTACAGGATACGGACGTTCTCAAACACTTTCGCGAAATCGTGAATAAGGTAAAGAGAGATGCGAGAGCTTGATGGAAGCAATTGGTTGATCAACGCTAAACTGACTGTCTATTATTTTTAGCTAAAGGCACGAAAGGAACAGTCCACAGAGATGAAGCAGTTCATAGAGGAATATGAAGCAAAGGTGAAAGCGTGTGAAGTAACGTCGTGAATCTGTTACTCGGAGGTACTGTGTTTAGAGTGAATACTATCTCTTAGTAAATGCGATGTTTTGGCGCGTCGAAGTAGATAATATACCAAATACATTTCTTGTCAAATAAAATGTTTACTAAAATTCACGTGAAACGTAAAACTGACGCCCACAATTAAAGCAAAGAATTGGAATTCGAAAAAAAGATGGGTTGAGTAAACCCATATGCATGTAGTCATCAACCGAATTTGCAAAGCGTTAGTTATCAGCGAACCTAGAACGGAAGAATGACGCTACGATTCGAATGAATACTTTTTCTTAAATGGAAATAATCTAATTTTTAGACTTGCATATATTTGGTTCCGATTCGCGTTCTCTTGCAGTCTCTACTAAACGGTTTAATAAACTCGCAGTTAAATCAAATTGAAAAAAAAACAATTATAATAAGCTTTTGAAATCCGTGAATCCAGTCACAAATCGACAGTGATACAGCAAAGTCTTCTGCGTCTCGTTTAATATTATAAAAGCAACTCAATTGGGTTAGGTGATACCAACAAAATAACCTACGCAGATGCTGTACGTCAAAGTAAATTTGTCATTAAGATTGCAAAACCGCGTTGCAGTCGTGGAATTAAACGTCCATTTTTTAATAAGCTGTGCTCCCTTATGGGTTTTCAAGGCAGGAATGAGATAATAATAATAATAAACTTTTTTTTATTAATCATATGGTTAATATGTGTAGAAGGCGATGTGGTACAATAAAACTTTGACCATCTATGCTTGTATTCAAGCGAGCCTATCGCCTGAAAAAGGAACCCTGGAACTTTCGCTTGGAAGAATAATGCTCGATATGGGGCGTTCACTTTGTCTCGTTTAATTGCAGCAAGCTCTATACATTCTCATGACGATTTTTGAAAGCACTGGACCTTGTTCAAGAAAATAATTATTTAAGAGTTGAGAACAGCCTTTACGCATTCTCCGTGCGAATCAAGACCTTTGCAAAATTCACAGGTTCACCGAATTCTTTTCCCAAGTTTATATTACTTTCCCACAACCATCACAATTTTGGTCATGTGATATACAAACTAATAATTAATCAAGTGATTATCTACTCACATATCCGCGACAATGCCTCTTGCAACCTGCAGTAATGAGTACCTCGCGCGCTAACCTAATTCAATCAGCAGTCAATTTCCTACGAGACCCCACTGTTCAAAATGCCCCACTTCAGAAACGAGTCTCTTTCCTAGAGTCTAAAGGTCTCACTTCCGAAGAGATCGAAGATGCATTGAAGCAAGCCAAAGGAGGAGCGACAGCCTCACAGACAGAGGGAAGCCAGGCTGCAGCCGTTACTGCTGCTGCACCTCCTGGCCAACAGGTTGTGCATGCAGTACCCCCACCAGTTCCGCGAATGGATTGGCGAGACTATTTCATTGCTGCTGTAATAATAGGAGGAGTGGGGTGGGCTGTTATCGCCGTAATAAAGGCAAGTAATTTTACTTTATCTCGCAATACGCACCTGTCCAGTTCGTCATTGCTCATAAGAGAGCACATAAGCATGATCCCGCTTAATTGTAACATTCTATTCCCACTCTTTAGAAATACGTAGCACCACTCCTAGGGACACCAACTGCCACAGAACTCGAGCGTGACAAACGTGCCCTCACATCCCAATTTGATTCTGCTACAGAAACACTTGATACGGTCAAATCTGACACCCAGGTTGCACGCAAACACGTCGAAGAACAATCGGCAGTAATAAAACAATCACTCGAGAATCTCGACGTTCTTCTTAAAGCCGTAAGAGATAACGATGAAAAACGAGAAGTTGCGATTAAATCTCTCAAGGAAGAAATCGATGCCATAAAAGATTTACTCCCAAAACTGCTCGAAAAGTCAAAGGAGTCACAAGCTCAGCAAATGAATGATCTCCAGCAAGAGTTAAAGAGTCTAAAGTCATTGTTATTAAATCGGGGGAGCGTAGTGGGGCAGCCGCCTAGTTCGGCAGCAACGGGAACGCCCAATATTACTGCACTTCCACAAAAAGGGGGCAATGTATCAATCCCATCGTGGCAGATGACAGAGAACAACGGTATAAGCGGAAGTAGCAACTCTACAGAGCAAGAAGATGAAACGAATAACGTAGCTGCTGGGACAAACGGGACGTTCCCTGATAATACGTCAGAATGAAGAGATTTTTGTTTTTATGAGGGGAAAAAAATTTTTTTTTTATTAATGTTTATAACAGTTTAGAATGACAATACAGATAGGCATGGAACAGCTGTTTATATTTTGTTTGACAAATTGGTTCATTCTGGTCGTGTCAACTGACGAAGCTGCTCCTGAATAAGCACGCCTGTATATAATGATGAACCGTTATTTGAGAGGGGAATGGGGTACAGACGATTTCATATAGTCCTTGTCTTTTTACTTACCCATAGTGTATAGTGCTGGGCCATCCATCCGACACAAAATCTCTTGCATATCGCGTTTTTGATAGTGATCGAATGCAAACATATTTATTGCCTCCAAAAGCTCCTGGATATATAATAGAGCAGTATAGTTACACCCAAGCGAGCTCAATGGATGGCCACCTAGTCTCTTACTATTTACTTACTGGCGATGGCGAATCGGGGTCATCTCCGAGCTTGTTTTGGTCTTTGTCGTCAGTGACTGTGGTAGTAGATTCGGATGGAAGAGATTCTACCGGTTGTTTGTTTTTTCCTTTATCCAAAGCCGGGTCATTTTGTGCGGTTGTATCTATTGTATCTATTGTATCTATTGAAGCGTCTGATACACAACCGTGTCAGAAATGCTACCACCGATACCATAATCAATGATCCCTTTGGAGACATAAAAAAAAACAACTGGTCATCTTTACCGGGAGTCTCGGAGTATGGTTTTGTTCTTATGTAATACATGCTTTTATACAGTCGTGGTGAGTCTACGAAAACGGCAGTCAGCTTTGTTGATCCTGGTTTTAGAAAATTTGCTGCTTCCTTTTTTGTTGGAAAGTAAGACACTAGATTCCAAGATGGATCGTATATGTATATAGGAACGCTGGACCATTTCATGTTCGGGTTGGGAATGCCCCCTAGCAAAACAATGGGGATGGACAAAGAGAAACAGCGATTATAATAATGTCGTACTTTGATCTCATTGGCGGACATCATCTATTACATCATTACAATAAATAGTGGCCGCATCCTCAGTAGTAGAGGATGAAGCCTTATAGTATATCCAATATTAAAATAATCTCTAACAGTATCTACGATTATCTATTAATGTATTGTCTTTATAACCTCGTGGCTGAAATGACTTTGGTTGTCCTAGAGGGCTTGGGCCTCGATCTTAAAAATGACCAGGCGACCTTTTGACTGCTTTCAGAACAAAGTAGAACAGTTACTGGGTCGCCGTCTTTCACGGGTGCAGCTAGGCATTTGTCCATATGATTGTAAGGGTGGAGAGTAAAAGAATCCTATAACCGAATGATACAGATTAATTTTACAATTAGGATTGGAACGACTGAATGAAAAACGTGAGCTACCTACCTCATAATACGAATCATCCCAACACCATCCCGAATTCTCTGGATTATGTATCGCATTCATTCGTACTGTATTTGTATCTTTATCCCACCAAAGTCTAGAAATAAACAAACACATTTGTTTAGTCATTCTGCATTTCTATCTATATCCTTTTTTGCAAATCAGTTTACCTACACGGTTCTCCCTGGTCCATATATAATAATCGGATGCATACAATGTTCATAACTTTGATGGACAAAACTCAACGAGAAGCTCATTTGTGTTTTGCTATGTTGATGTACATCGCATATTTTCACATACATGGGCTCACTTGCAGCGTCCAAACATCGCCAAAGGTATTCTAATAAATTAATGTCAATACATGTGTTATGAACTAGACAGACTTTCCTAACACACTACTCAACTGTTCTCGAGAGTATTGGCTATTATGTCTGGTTCTTCGGCTCCATGGCCGGAAACTCGTGTTAAAATAGCAGACACTGCCAAGATAAATACGGCATTAAATCTCATTTTTTTTAACGTTTGCCGATGAGTGAGGATTGCAAAAATAAGTGTTGTTTGTATGTGCAGTGTGAATGCTGTGATACCATAAAAATTACAATTAGCTGTTGCACAATATGTATTATTATTATATAATTTGCTAGTCATTTGCCTTTGAAACGAGACGTTCATTAAAACATGTCTCCGTCTTCACCTTGAGTCTTCTCCTGAACACACTGCCTATCTTTCATCTTAATTCTTCTTGCACGTAAGGCTCTTACAGATGGTTCTTCATTACATATCGGTAATGAGGAATAGTAGTTTGACAATTAGTATAAATATGGTGCATTGTCTGTTGATGCTAATAGATCCGAGCTTCATTGATTCTTTTCTTTTTGACGCAAGAACAAGTATGTGTTAGTATCTATTCAACATCTAAACGTATTTTCAACATCTAAACGTATTTACAACCATGCATATGCGACTGTGCTACGGCTTTACCGGGTATTGTAATTGTGTTTTTCGATTGATTGGAAAGGCGGGAAGTAAAACTCGTACATGTTATACACATCAATCGCGCACAATGAAAATAACAATTCAATCATTTAGAGTAGTAACAAAATACAGCCGAGGAAAAGATACTTGTCCATATTAATACGTTTTATTAGGAGTAGCATGTAGCGGGGAAGGATAATCGACTGATAGCAGGTTTCTTGTGACGAATTTGTATCAATCTTTTATTACGAATAAATGGCATATGGATTTTCTTTTACCCTTCATTTGAGACTATTTGCAGTAAACCAGTTAACCTCGTTATCAGCAGACGCGCAAGTAAACATTTTCACATGTTTATTGTAAATACACAGCCATTGAAAAAGGCGTTGTCTGTCCTTTAGCAGCACTCAAATAAAGTGTTGGGTTTAGCATCCGTGAACACAGAATACAGTATAAATTCTACAATAGAAAAGAAACCCAGATTTACATATTAACCTGCTCAAATTATTGAACGGCTAGCCATTTCAAGCCAACGAGCTCATTCAAGGCCCGAGCGATATGCCTAGATACAAAACTTTAATCATTCAGACGATCAATTTCTGCGACAATAATTTTAAAGTACCCCCGCTCTGGGTATTATTATTATGCAAAAATAGTAAAATATCCGAGCATGGCTAAATTGATAATTTAAAAACCAGACCGGATATGCGATTAATCATCCGGATTTAGCCCATTGCTGTATACAAATAATAATGTGTAACTATTACATTGACGTCGCAATATATATATATATATATATATATGCGCGTTGTTCTTTGACTTTGTTGAACGACTCCTTCTCTCTACACAACTCAACCATAAATCCTGAATAATTTCCAAAATGTATACAAAAATTCTTGCAATCATTTTTGAAAACTACGTTCATATGAAAGCCTTTTGGCCACCAACTGCGAATCAAACCACCAGACAGATTTTGGCAACGGAAGGATTAGTAGGATTAGCTTTCGCTCGGATTCTTCCTATATTAATAAACACTTTCAACACGGGACAATGTTTATTTTATATTTATATAATGTATCAACAAGAAAATGGTGCGCTGCCAATCAAAAGCTACAGGTTTTCGGAATGGCATCTACTAGATGTTATCTGGTTTTTGGGCACTGCTGGAGGATCTTCATTAAGATTGTGGTGTTTTAAATGCTTGAAAGAATTTTTCACTTTCCATGTTACTATCAAAGAACATCACAGATTGATTACCACCGGTCCATACTCTTTACTAGTTCATCCTTCGGTGAGCATGTTATTTTTATTTTGTTTCGTTTCGTTTCGTTTTGTTTTATTTTGTTTTGGTATTCATTTATCCGTGGGAATACTAATGACATAACTTGATTACACAGTATACGGGTGCTGCCTTGGTGATAACTAATTATTTGATGACTTATCAATTGTTGTGCTACCTTCCATTACATCTGTCGCTTGATTGGGGCACGGTTTTGATATCATTTTTTGCTCTTGCTGCAAGTAGTATTATAATAGCTCAAGTTTTGACGTTCAGGCGGATCTCATATGAAGAACAGGCATTGAAAAAGAATTTCGGTAAAGCCTGGGAGATTTACTTTAGTCAAAGGAAAAGATTTATACCATATGTTATTTAGTAATTTCCATGTTTTTGTTTTTATTTATTAAATTTATATTAAATATTCAATACATACATACATAGTCGACCTCGATAAGTCGGTCAATACGGGCTTTGCGGTCGACTTATCGAGAACATGTAAACAAACTGAATATAATGTGTAAAAAAACACAACTATCTATAGTAATAGTGGTTTGTTTCATGAATTAATTTATTTTTTTCTTATTTGACGTAAGAAACTACCTATGCTAACGTCACTATATTATTGTAAATAATTCCGTATATTTTCAAAGCCGTTTTATTTGAGACAGATAACGGACACAAACCATTGCAGCTGTCTCTTGAACTAAAGCAATAATTGCACCTTTATCGATTATATCAGATTCCTCCAAACCGCTAATGTAATTTCTTACAGTATCCGTTTAATGAAGTGATTGTGGGATATTTCAATAAAATTGTATGGTTGAGATAGTATCACTACGTTCCGTTATTCATAAAACGAAAATTTTCACAAAAAGTAAATCTTTCTAATGCCTTGATTCCATTTTCACAAATAATTATTTCCGACATAATCGACTCGATCGCGTAATGGCGTGAATTGTAAATTTATCGCGACATATGATTGTTATCACCTACCGAGGTTGACCATTAATATCTTTTGTCCGATCACAACTGAACATGACAATTGTGCTATGATACAGTAAACTATGGCATAAAGACATGTCGACAATTGCGTTACATTTGTGGCAAAGTATTAAACTTGCATATTAATAAACTACTACCACTATTACTATCAGTGATTAAATAAATCTATCGTGAAAATAAAACAGGATTTCCTTAAAGGACGTGTTTAATTTAATCAATGAATAATTTACTTTTCGACTAAAAGTTATTGTTCGAGTAATAGTGTTGTTATCGTTGTCATTGAACGGAAGCGTCTGTTGAAGCATTCAAACATAAGCCAATCTGAAACTGTTGACACATATCACACAAAATTGTTTGCAGACTCGAATTTGATCAAACAATCAAATATTATCACGTGCGCCTAAATAAACGACCTCGAAACCTCAAATATTGTCACGTGCTAGTCTTAATGTGGTACAACATGACTAAATTACATCACTTTCACGTGATCATAACTATAAATATTCATGAACAGCTGGCGCATATTATCCTTTGATACCTCTCTTATACATCTAATAATTCTAATATTCAGCGCTATGACTTACTATGCACTTTATCGAAAAAGCAGGTGAGTTTCCAATGGTGTCTGGGGCGTGTTCCACAGAGCCGATTGAGTGACATGCAGTGAACTTGTAGTATTGGCATGGCTTTAACCGATTCGCTTGACGAGTTGATCCAGCTGGACAAGATCACTCCCCAACTAGCGTTGAAAGTTCTTGCACAAGTAAGTATATGGCACAAAGACGAGAAGATCTTGTTATTCTGGTTTACCTTCTGCCATCTGACCACCCCATCTATGCTTTTGCGAGACAGTTTGACAAGAGTATAACAGAGGCATTGGATTGTAGAGTAAAAACCCGGGCTACGTTCAAAGTATGTAGAAATCACAGTGCTTGCACTGTACGAGTCGTATCCTGTGTTTCATACCGAATACGTATTTTGAGTTGTCTCTAGAATTATGAATGTTTTAGATGTACTATACATGTACTTTCTTCATCTTTTTTCAACTAACAGCAAGGAAGCCTGCGGACCTACCGTTTTTGCGATGAAGTCTGGACATTCATTATTAAAGATCCAAATCTCCGCATAGAGCATGAACAGCTCCAAGTTGATAAGATCAAGATCGTGGCTTGTAGCGCAAAGAAACCTGGAGAGGCGGAGAAATGAACCGGGCGTTTAATAAGTCCTGGCACGTGCGTTGAACTACAACTCTTGTATTAGAAATAAAATTGTTGTTTCAAAATATTAACTAGTATAATAAGGGCTAAATCGTGGTTAATGGTTGATGGACGATAGAGGTTATCATAATAAATAGACAAAATTATGAACGTAAAGTATTCGCGAGGAAGTGATGGTTGTATTTGGTATTATATGCTAGGTAAATGCTATTACTCTCGCTTCTAACTTGTAATGGCTGATCAGGGGGTTGGCGTGCGGTAATTGTGTAAAACGTATTTAACGTAATCTTAATCGAAAGAGCGGTTGAACTTTTAAAGCAGACGTGTGGGAAGAGAAAATGTATAGATGAATGTATCTGCTGAACTATTCATAAGAAATAAAGATGCTATCACCTATAAAACCAGGTTCTTATAGAGCTTGCCAATTCATGTTTGATTTTTGCTTCCTAACTCGTCTAATTGTGTATAGACGTCCATTATGTTTTATTATTATATACTCATGACTCTCATTGTATTAAGTGAATTCACCATAGTATTATATAAGTCACTAAATATAGTAAATGTATTTTTCATTTGCTGGTTGTAAAACGACGCGTTAATCATAACGTAACGCGTCGAGATTTCTGACCTCGAATAGGAAAAATTCTTTTTTGATCAACGAGTTTTGAAGCGCAGCAACATCATGATCAACAGTGTTATATTGAGCATGATCCTGAAACTATTTTTTATGTCCAAAATTTTAAAAGCTATGATGTTTAATTCCTTTTATTCTAATTTTTACGGCAGATTATTGAACAACCGGTTATTATGATACACAGTATGGTGCTATGCATTGCATGGCCAAATTTGCGAAATTCACGATACCCATTATCAGTTAATGTGCGTAACAATGTGAATGCGAATAAATCTCCCAATTGATGTCGAATTATTGCTATGCATCTTAGCCGCGTGTGCGGTAACGTTTACGCAAATCACAGTGATGACCACACGAACGCGAACTTATTATTATTATTGTTGTCAATAAACCTTGTAGGCATACTCGCTAGAAAACTAAGGCTTTTTAATATAACAATGTGAGAACTAGTCCCGGATAGCTGATTCTATAAGGTAATACAATTTTAAACAATGAATAGTCTGCGAATTCTCCATTTCTTTACGGCACAACGGAAAGATCATTAACAATATCAACCAAATAATTCATAAATCGACATCTATAGTCTAATGTTCCGTGTATATATACGATATACGTTTATCGAGAATGTGATGGGCATGCTATGCAGAGGACTGGTATGGAGAGATCATAAAAACTGGAATTATTACGATTCATACTTCCAAATATTACTTCGAGATGTTATTTTATTGGCCACAAGTAAATGCCAAGGCTGCTTTTATAGCAAGAAATAAAAACAAACAACAGAAAGAAAGAAAATCAAGTTTTTTCTCAGTAAAACTCAAACGATCTTTCCTATTTCTGATCCCGACTACTTACTGCTTACAGTGTTGATGCAGAAGATTTGGATCAGGAATGGACGAAATCAAATGAAATATACCGTTTATCTTTTTATTTATTAATAATGCCGTTGTTTAGTCAAGAAAACCGGAGAATTAGATAGTGACGGGTTGGATAAAGGTCGTATACCATCCATCGAAGTAGTTTTGCGCACTGCGATCGATGTCTTCATTTTTCTAACGTAATAATTAGCCACATAGATGTTCATTAACCGTTTCTAGATTAGGGCTAACGATAATGGGAAAGTATATTGCGTTCCCACCGCGCCTCTGAGAAAGTAGTATGCCAGAATATGTCATAACGTGGCTATCACAAGCGGTTAACAATTGCGTCAGGACGAAGTAATATTTACGCAAAGAGATCGATATAGACGAGAAAATGATAAATTGGTGGCTATAGCTTCCCATCCTCCCACTCAGCGTTAAACTAACAGGAAAAAAGAAATATGAATGGTAGAATACACTCTTCCCTAGTTATAGCTATATTCCTTTGCTTGTATGTATTCTGTTGCAACTCAAAGATGACTGATGTAAATAGTAAGTTAATCTGCCGACTTGTTACTTTTATGAAATAACTTGGATTGACACTAAATTTAAAAACAGATCAAAGAGGCCCAGATGTCTGGTCTCCACGTGAGTTGAAAGAGTGGTTGGCCGAAAATAGAGTATATTATAAAGGAATCCCAGAGAAAGATGAACTAGTGGTCTTGGTGAAACGTCATTGGAGAGATACGAAACAAAAGGAAGACACGATTACGTCTTATGTTGATGAATTCGTGAAATATCTGGAAAGTTGTAAGTACCATACGTTGATAAGAGCGATCGCTTGTTCCATTATGACCGTTATTGATCATGCTACAATTTTGCAGACGCCACCGCGGGTAAGGAAGTCACAAAAGAAAATGCGAATGCATTAGCTGAAGAGATTGCTAAAAACGCTGAATCAATACGAATTGGCTTTGGCATCACCGAGGATAAGATGGCATCAGTCTTTGATCAAGTAAAGTCTCGCATGTCGGGAGCCAAAGACGAAACAAGTAAGCAGATCAGCAGTACTTTCAATGATATCAGCCGATCATATGCTTCTGCTAAATCCAAGAGAGACGAGATAATAAACGAAGGGACAAAGCGCATCGCGGCAGACTACAAGAAAACAAAAAAAGTCTCTCAAGATACTATCCAATGGCTCAACGACCGAGTCGACGAGCTGAGTAAGGCTCCAGGATTCGCCAAGTCGAGAGTCCAAACTCAAACTATACTTATTCTCCGCGGCATTGAAGAAAATCTGGTTTCTACCATGAAGACATCAACCAAAGATGTTGAAAAAATTGCCAATCAACTATCATCTGCACTTGGCGAACCATATGGAAAGACCAAGAATATATTCAAGCGTATCGGCAGCGGGATTTATAACACGATTGGTATGTAACTTTCCGATAAATGTTTCGAAACCCAAACATGGAAAACTGCTAAAAAAAAAAAAAAAACCGTTTGTACTTTTCTTTTTATATAAAGCTGGGACATGGCGTGCAGTTGTTTACGTCAAGAGGAAGGTGGTCGACGGAACGGAATACACGATAAACCGAATTATTGCTGTAAAGAATGGAGTAGCACATTTCGTTGGTAGGATTACGGGTAGAGCTAAAAAGACGGCTCTTGAAACCAAACAAGCTCAACAAGAACGATTTGCTTACTTGACCGATTACCTGCGAGACACTGTCAAGTCTTCTAAAGAGCCGATCGCCAAGGTATTGGCTAATGTTGAGAATCGAATTGTTACCACCGAGAAATTAACAAAAGATCAAGCGAAGGTTGTCCAGGAAACTTTGAAAGAGAAATTAGGTAACATAAAAGACGCAAAGGATTTGACCGAAGATCGTATAAATGATGCCATCAACGCTTTATGTAAGAAATTTACAAGCACTGGTGATGATAGATGTTGTGAAAAGTGTAAGAAGTATGAGCAAGTGGAACAGATCGTCAAATCGGAGTTGTAGTTGAACTGACATTTTAGTATAGCAGCATAGTATGAAAGTGTAATTAATTTACTTGGTGTGAAATCATATTTACCTAAATAAAATATTGCGTGATCTGTCAGCATCTTTTAACTTGCATTTCACACATGACTGAGCCACTAATTTCATCGTTTTGCGAGTCGCGTGGTCCAACGTGATGTCGATGAGAGAAAATTATTATTGTCTAACGCTAAACCAAGCCGTTTATCTAAATTAGTCATTTCAAAAAAACGATGTATGAAATATACGTGTGGGGAGAAAGCTTGGGATTGCCTTCGATAGATCCTGGTTGTCTGGCTATAATTTCGTACTTGCAGCTGGTCGCACCCGGTGAATATGGTATAATAGAGTGTAATAATCCCAACGTGTCGATTACAGGTTAGTAAAATATACTCGGTCAGCAGTAAAATCTCTTTTTACATGCTTAGTATGTTGTGATTTTAGGGGAACTACCTCTTTTAAGAGTCGGTAGTGAATGGATCGCTGGTGTCGAGAATATAATCAAACATTTGAACAAAGAGGTATTATCATTGGGCCGTCCAAGTGGGGAGGAAATGCTCTCTTTTTTTTTTCATAACGTTTTAATTCAACGTGCTTCTCAACCAGGGTCGTGACGGTACGGATCGTTTAACTGATGTACAAAAGGCAGAAAGTCTTGCGTATGTCTTTGTTTAGCCTTAACCTGTTTGGCAAGACGCGATCAGCTATTTAATTCAACCCGAGTCTCAAGCCTACCTCGTTTTTGCTTTAGATTTATGACTCTTATTCAAGAAGATGTCTATGACGCATTCGTGAGCTTTGAAACTGTTACTCCATGGTGTTCTTGTTCACCATTACTTTTCAACTCTATGCACATTTTGTTGTGAATACGAGTGATGACAGATCTGACTATTTTATGGATAGCTATTCTCATGGTATATTGATTCGAAGAACTATTCAGAGGTCATTCGGCCACTCTTTGGTAGACTTTTGCCGCTGAGTGTGAGATATATTATTCCTTCTCAAACGCAAAAAATGGTCGAGGCGAGGTTGGCGAGATACAAAAAGGCTTTCAACGGCGATGAGAAGCTAACTGTTCACGATACGAATGGTGTAGGTTGATGTGATGAGCGAAAGCTTTCTTAGGACGCCTTCTTACGATGCTTAAATGTTAAATATGGAGTAATTATGAGTAATCACAATTAATACTTTATTCAGATATACATGATGCAAAGGGATTTGTACGATATATTAACAAGGAAACTCGGAGAGAACGATTATTTTTTTGACGGCTCGTAAGTATAATCTTCTTGGCACGATCTAATAATCTTGATAGAACACTAACCGTCATGCAGTACCCCAACAACACTAGACACGATAGTTTATGGTTATCTGGCCCTTCAACTATATCCCCGTCTTCCCAACCCAATTCTATCCGATATCCTTGAAAATGATTATCCTCGATTAAAACAATTCTGTGATCGGATGAAACATCGTTTATTCCAAGAACAGCTACCGATTATTCAAGCAGCTGAGCTGCCTTCAATGTTTACAGGATTGTTCGTATCGCCTCGTTCGTGGTTTACCAACACTTTTCGGGGCAAAAGAGATGACACGAAGATAGAAAAGTCTCAAGCTCAGTTGAACTTTGAGAGGAAAAGGTTCTATTCGATCGTCGGTGCAGTAATGTTTATGATTGTATATACCGTTTGGAATGGTATTGTTGTGATAGATATAGTGGGCAGTGAAGATGAGGATGAGGATGAGGATGAAGATGAGGAAGAAGAAGATAATGAGGACGATGAGGAAGAGGAGGAAAAAGAGGGGGCGGAAGAAAGATTATGATTTGTGTAGAGACGAATGAGTCAGACTGAGGACAAACTTAATTCATTCAAAATAAAGTAAAAATGAATAACAATTGCAACAAGATATTTTCATTTCAACTCGCAATGTTTGTGGCATTTTCAGTTAAAACCATACTTGTAGAATACTCGACAATTCAATCTGTCGGCATGAGCTTTCGTCTGTAAGAATTCGCGATAGCCATAATGCACATCACTTTATCGTTAATGTTTGATTATTGACTTTATTAAGACCCCGAGCGATCTTTGTAGATAAGCACCAAGACTGTGAAATAGAAGTACTTCGAATGCAACTTTTAAAGAGGTCGACATTATTAAGTGGTAGGTTTGTTTTAAACCTTTGAATATTGATGTAATACACACTGGACAAATAAAAGTTATTTATAAACTTCAATGAGGACGAGTCGCGTAGATATTTACTCAATATCATTCATTATATGCGACAAATTCTTTTGCTAAACTGATTTTCCTGATTGATCGACATTCGTGCAACATTGCCAAAATTACGCAATTTAATCTCAAAGGATTTTGCTGGAAAGTTGTCTGAATTTATCTTCGCTTCAAGACTTGTAAAGCATTTCTTTGAGGGACCTTGTTGCAGCAGCAAGCTTTGAAGACTGATTGCTGTCTAGTTTTCATTTGTCTTACTCCTTTCCATGCACTTCTTGACTTATTTTGTGAAACAAATAATCTAACACAAACGGTCTCATTACCTATTAGTAATGAGCTTTTGGTGTCATACTGAATCACGGGATCAATTTCAAATGGTTATAAAAAACGGTTTTCTTTTTCTTCGCTCATTATCCGCAGTACCAAAAGCATTCTTCCAGTATTCCAGGGAGGAAAAAAATACTACCATGTCAGATGAAACAGCCACCCTCCCCCCCCCAAACTCAGTGCCTATGGAGGGTGAGGTATCCAACAGTCAGATAGAATTACCTGCTCATAATCAAGAGAAAACCGAAGCTCAAGAAAGTGTGCAAACGAATGATCAGTTACTTATACCCTCTACTTCAGACCCATCAACTCAATCGGTTGAACTGCCTCCTGTCCCTGTTAATGAGCCCAATCATGAACATTTTACTCAATCGCCTTCCTATGTAGAGATAAAGCCCCCAGAAATAACCCATAATAATATCAATGTTGAACCTAGCATTAGTAATGATATAACTAGTGTTTCATCAACCGTAAGCCAAGACACTGCTCAAATTGAGGTTACTGGAAAAGAGCCTTCAACCTTAGGTCAAGAGACAGTTCAAAATGAAGTTACTGGGAAAGAGCCACGCAAATGGCGCCATCGTCGTTCACCTAATGATAAGAATGACAATAAAGCACCATTTAACTTACGCAGACTTTCTGATGCTGATTTTCAAGCTTTGCCTCCAGGGTCCCGTCTGTTCCTTGGGAATTTGTCTACTCATTCTACTTCTAAGAAAGAACTTTATGACATATTCTCGCCATATGGGGAGATTTTGCAGATATCTATCAAAAATAGTTTTGGTTTCATTCAATACGATAATCCAGACAGCGTGGTCAAAGCAATTACTAAAGAAAATGGAAGAGTATTACACGGGTTGAAATTAGGTGAGACTTTTTGTTAATCGCTATTCTATAAACGATCAATTCATTATTTACTCGATAATAAAATATCTCCTTTCCCTTCGTATGATGTCCCCCCCCCCCCCGTATAGGACTTGAGATTTCATATGGTAAGCCATGGCATCATCCTCCACAGGGTGAGGGACCCAAACAAGCACATGCGCACAGGCCAGACAAGCATTGGGCTCAAAGAGGTTACAAAGATGAATGGTACGGAGGCGAGCGTGCCTTTTCTCCTCCACGTGGACACCAGATGCCTCCGTATACTGATAGACGTTACGAAGAATATGAGCACCGACCAAACGAATATCGGCGTACTTCGTATGATGGTAGACCTGGTTATGAATACCAAGAACATAGAGAATACCGCACACCTCCTGATTATCGCGAAGAATATAAGCCTGAACATGAATATCGACCTCGCGACGAGCGCGCCGGGTATCGACGAGGCGCCTTTCGTGAAGAGCACCGCGAAGAGCGATATCGAGCAAAACCTTACAGAGTCCCTTCGCGTGATTACGTCGATCGACGCCAAGGTCGAGAATATCCTCCATATAGGGGTCATAGTCACGACGAGCCCGATGACGACTTTCCTTTACCAAGACGTCAAGGCAATGAGGTGCCCGAGTGTCAGATTATTGTGTTGGAAGAAATTGAACGGTAAGCATTCTTTAATAATTATCATATTATCACAAACTATGATTTGACACTTTTTTTTCTGTTGAATAGTAATTTTATATGGCAAGTTGAAACTGCATTCCGTGAAGCAGCCATTACTGTCCACATATTACATTTGTCAAGAAAGAAGCTCCCAATACCTGCAGTAATTCGTCAAATGATCGTTGAGGGTGTGCATGCTGTCATCTTCTTGGAACGTCATCACGAAATGACCGCACGTGTCAATATGCAAATCTTTGATCAATCGCGTGCTGCACGAGACAGCAATGTAAAGTATGATGGTATGTATTTTGCCCGTATGTTGGAAATAGATGTGCACTATCGCAATCTTTGTTGTTATAAACGACTGCTGATTAATCTTTGAAATTTACTATTGTTCAGAATATGAAAACATTAGAATTGAGGAAGCAGTCGGCCTTCTACTTCGTGCCCGCGCCATGCAAAGACCCGGTGATATTCGACCTCCTGATAATTTGTTGCTTGGCCAGCCACCAATGCAACCCCCCCAAACAATGCCACTCGGACCTCAACCTGGGGGAGCCAACCCCAACCCAAATCTTCTGGGTAATGTTAATTTTGCTGCGTTGGCCAATCTTCTCGGGAGCCTTCAACAGCAGCAGCCGGGTGCAACTGGCCAACCAGTGCAACCAGTGCCAATGATACCGCCAAATGCCATACAACCGCCAGGTTCTATACAACCGTCGCAGCCTACAGGAATGTTGCCACAACAGCAACCGCCTAATATTGATGTTCAACAGCTTTTAAGACAGCTTGCTCCCCAGAATCCGGCTGTAAACAACCAACCATCATTTATGCCAGCTCCACATCCCATAGGATCGAACCTAGGATCGAACTTGGGTCCACCACCCACACATTTTAATCCTCAAATGGTGGGACAACCACCAAACGCTGTTCCTCCTAATACAATGCAACCTAGTATGTCATTGTCCCAGCAGACTCAGCATCCCACGTCAAATATTCCACAGTTTACAACTCAAATCAATCCACCTACAAATGTGACTGATTTGATGGCACAATTGAACCAGTATAGCAATCAGCATTGACATCTTGCCGATGATTGAGAAACACTCTTTCCCCCCTCCCCCCAACTTTTCGCTCGTTGTTCTTTTCATGCTCTGGTTATAGCATCCGCGTCTTATCTCTCTGTTGTCTGCAATTGGGTTGCGTATTATCATCCGGATACTAAGTGGATGCATGTGTTGCTTTGCGTTTGCGCTGCATTTTGAATAATGAGTTCGTGTGAACCTGTAATACCGAAATGTAGATAGAATTATTCTTTATTGTATAGGGTGCTACGTTATTGCATATCTAATTGCTTGCCAAGTTTAGTTGTCATTGCACGAATGGGTGATTGGACAGACTTTCCATACTAGATAATATTTCTTAGCTTGCAGACCCTTGATTCGGCCCGTTCGATTATTCCACCTACAATTTCATTCGTGCTGTCCTTTTCCTATTTCCTTCATATTATTCTCCCCAATAAATCCCCATTTGATCATCCGGTTTATGTACATAAATATATCCGCTAGCTTTGCGATACGTGACTTTTGTGTTCCTTTACGCAACGAAAGTAGGATCTGTCATAAGGTTATATAGCCGAGCCGACTAACTACATTCGTTCTACAATTAATAACCCTGAAAAAACGTATCCATAACAAAAATGCGATGTCTTACTTCTTAGATGTATAGGAAGGTTGTACTAAAAATGTTTAGCAGTCTGAATTAAATAAAATAATTATTATTATACTCGTTTTACATAGAAGTCAGTAGAATGTGATTTTCATGCCCTGTCGAATGAGTGAAAACTTTACAAAATGACCCTGTTCATTCCACGCATAAGATTTGATATAAAGTCGAATCACAATTTATTTCATCAAAAGCAAAAAATGTGCCACCAAGAAATAGAAGAGTCTTTGTCTGGTGTGTATGATTGTTTGCAGATATCCAATGTTTCCATTTACGAAATGGAAGACTTGGATGCGTTCCTACGAGTCAGCAGCCGCTATATTCACAACGATTAACTAACAAACAGCTGTATCGGCTTTTTGCCAACTGTTTAGATTGACATGCAACGTATGCCATTATTATGACATGTGCCAGGATGATCATCATTCTTCAAATGCAGCAGCTCGAATGATCTTTACATTATCTTTTGGTCTATGAATTGATCATCTCGTATACTTTAGCGTCATTATATTATTGAGCAGAATCCATTTGTATCGCGCCTGACTTACCGATCATTAGAATCCGTTGCAACAAGACCCATACGCCTTACAATCTTTATGCCTTTGGAAACGCGGCCGAATATTGCGTGTTTGGCTTTTGTTGGAAGCAAAAGAAATTTAACATTATTTCCGCTAGCATTTTACATCGATTGAATATTAATATTAGCAATTACCATCTAGCCATGGTGTAGGTGCTAACGTGATAAAAAACTACAATAATAATCGATAGGTCGTACTATTAGTTAGTTCAAGACTGTGTGTGTTAATAAACAACCGCCTTCCCCATATGAGATTCTTGCCTGACTCCCGTTGGTATCGGGTCCCGAGTTTGCCATACTCAAAATTCCTGCACCTGTGTGCTTTAGATCAGGATGAATTTCATCTTCAAATTTGTCGCTATTTTATATAGACGGGAAATGTTAAATTTTAATATCTATTATAAATAGACTTTGATCATGAGGGACGAGCTCTACGATACCCATAGATAGACGTTCCACCTCTTCCTGTGCCAGTGGGATCACCTCCTTGAATTACAAAATCCTACAACGTGTCCAACCGCAAATAAGTATTCATAAGGATGGTCACCTGAAAACATATGACCATCAGATACTTACTGGAATAATTCTATGAAACTAAAGAATAGAGGAATAAGTCTGCGTAATCAAGCCCACGAGTATAGCCTCCCTAGTGAATCTACTTACTATAACGTTGTTGTAACGACCACGTTTAGCCTACAAAGAAGATCGTTTAGTTAACGCTTTCGCGTTTTGCAAATCTGCAATTTTCACGTATCGCTATATCTTTCGAAAACGCTAACTAACCAATTCCCAGAAATTCTTACAGGTCTTGGGCGCATGGTCCCAATACAATTCGATGGTTATTTCCCCCTAACGGTATATCAGATGATAAAACAATTAATAATTCGGAAGCGTTAGAGTATTGGAAAAGAGTGACACTAACCATGGAAGTGTAAAGGATCACGTATGGTCGGTCAACTTCTTCATCAGCCATATTCTCTCGCTGTGACGAAACGAAACCTTGGAAATTTTTCCAGCTGATGATTTTTCGTAGTCGAAAATTTTGCCGATCATCGATCTGCTCTATGAAAATAATGACGATTGAAGTTTACTTGCAGCTATCGTTGTCATTCAATATATATAAAATAAGATTAGGGGTGAGAAGGTCATAAAGAATCATATGGATGTCGCAATGTGAATGTTTCTTGCTATTACAACCGATTATTACAGTTTGGGTTTATTAGACCTCATATAATAGTAGTTTGTCAAAACTCAAACATACTGGCGTGGCAATATGATTCTATCGATGCAGTAAGATGCCTCAGCCAGCCGCCTGAAGAATGCATGTCAGAATGGGGTTTTATTAGAGGAACTACAACATTCTACAAACAAAGTTATCGAAATCTTTACTGCTCAATGAAATGTAAACAAGACGCTCTTTCGTTAGTCTCACTGATTTCTGGCGAAACTCATTTACTTTAGCTTATTTATCAATGAAGAGTTTGCCAGCGAACTAAGATATGGCGAATACTTCAGGTCAGTTTATATCTTGAAGAACGCGATTATTTCATTAATAAATAAAATTTTATATCAGATTCGATATGTATTTATTCGCATTATAGTAAACATTTACTATATAGCGAGAGTCTTGATATTATGCAAGAAACCAGATCTTCCTGGGCCGAGAGATCGAAGTTTATCGTGATCAATAAAAACATGAATGTTAATATACGTAACCTTTTAACATTGAATATACTTCGATTATTGTGTTTCTTACCAAGCAATATTCAGATTAATGATGATGTCCACCATCACCATCACTACCTACGAAAACTAGTTTGTATACACCACCGCACTCGGGGCATCTGTCAAATTCATGTTCTTTTTCCAATTTCAACCAGATCATCTCGTGCGTGTCGGCAGGGTAGCCTTAAATTTCAAAAAAATGAATGTTGGCTGTGCGAAAAGCAAACAACAGCAACATTACAATGGCCTCGCTTGTTTAATTCACTAACCGGTGCATCCAACATAACGTTCAGGATCAACACTTTTGACGAGAATAGGATTGCTCTTAGTCCCAAGATGAGTCAAAAGCAGCGGTTTCATATCAAAAAATTCCTGTCCCTCTATCTTAGCAAGTATTTCGGCTCTCTCGAGACCAGTCGCCTGCTCCAAATCCGTGGGAATGCTGTTTGGCTTTGCACCCGGGCCGATAAGGCTAGGCGATACGTCTATGAAAGCAAAAGCAAGACGAGTAACATAGATATGAGTAATATTAGTAAATAACATGTAATTATAAACGAGCAGGACTGAACCGGACAAGCAGCTGTTCATACCTCCCCTGCGAGCACCAAATACCGAAAATGATCGGATTACTCTTGGAGTGCGTGACTGAAATCTAAAGTTGTTCAGCGCAGCAAAGCCAGTGCGACGAATAACTGTATGGAGCATTCTATACAACAAGCCGAGGATAAAGGAATAAAAGTATAGTTCTTGTAGAGGGAATCGTCAGTAGTTTGTCAGTTATTATTATTGATAGCGCAACTAAATAGACTTATCATTAGTGTAACATCTAACTGATTTTAAAATTTTTATTTCTAAATGTGACACGTATTATTATTACGCTGATATAAGGCTACTGTATCCCCACAATGTTTGGTAACAGGGTTTTATGAAGTAAAGCGTAACTGCATATGCAGGCGGCCATTCTAGCCAGATATAGGAGCCAACTATCGCGGGAGAGCGTTCAGTAATTGGCCTTGGGATTTAGCTCTTTCAATCGAGGCCTAGCTAACTTCTAAATCGATAATACAGTTAGTGACTTTATACCCTCATGCTTTCAGGACAATGCTAATATTAGATGAATTCTTTACAGGACGCAAATTTACGTTCATGTCTAATATCCTTGCTAGATTAACCTTTCAATTGGCAAATGCAATAAACATAATTATTCTAACGGATAATCTAACAAATAGCACGACAGACAAATAGTACGACATTTGACGTTCACGAAATAAAATCGTATTTTTGTTTAACGACAGAAGTACAATGATGATATTTGTTGAATTTGTTTATGAAAGAATCTTCGATTGGCAAATATACATGTCTAACTGTCGATGACTGATTAAATAAATAAGAAAAGACGTATACATTTCGCCACTAACTGAAATGGTATCACCGCTTCTCTCTTTCCTTTTTTTTAACAAAAAAAAAATTACCGTTATGGCCTGCTTTTTATTGCATTGTTTGAGTTGGAAAAAAGCTTGCTTCTCTCCTTCTTACCAAGCATCAAACTCCCGGAATCTAAATAAAGACCTCGAAACCTCAAACTCCCGGAATTTTCGTTGGTCATAATCATGATGATCACCCTATATATGGGAATATACTGTGCGATGTTAAATGTGTTGGAAAAGTGTGTTGGATTTCTTGATTATAATCTCACGATTATTTATTGTTATTATTATTATACTACTAGTAGAGTTAGTGTTAGTGTATTTATTACAGGGGGTAAGCTACTCTAACTTCGAACGAAGATCTTTAGCAAACTAAGGGTAAACGTTTATAAGAGACTCCGGCACTTCGGATCGGCCTAATTTAGCAAGTACAATTATTCATTTGTGCCCCCAACCAGAAAACTTTTACCTTTTTATCGTAACATTATGGAAGTAAATGTTCACAGATGTCGGTTTATAGAGTATCAGCCTGCCCAAATTAATTCATTATCACATACTGAGACGCCTACGTTGGGATTAGTAGCATGTGGTCGATCGAATGGGAATATTGAGATATGGACAACACGGAATAATTGGAACTTATTGAAGATAATACCCGGTGGAGAGGGACGTGATGTCAATTCTGTTGTATGGGTCAATCAGCATTCAGATAATACGCTTCCACGCTTATTCTCTGCTGGCTCAAATGGGCTTTTGGTTGAATGGGACACAATCTCACTCGAGCCAAAAGTATTGACACGCGTATCTGGTGGATCGATTACTTGTATGTCAGTAAACCACGGCAATACTTTCATAGCTCTGGGCTCAACTGATGGAGCAACCCGAATATTTGATATAACTAATCCTAAATTGCCCGATTTGTATAAAACTATTAAACCGGGAAAGCCATCTCAAGTATTATCAATTGTATGGACTTATGATGACAAGTATATAATAACAGGCTCATCGGATGGTACTATTAAGAAATGGGATAGTGTAAGTGGAAGAACAATATCAACAATGACTGTGGAAACGCGACGAAAATCACCTACTCCAGTGACAAGTGTAATTGCTCTTCCTGATAACACCATAGTATCTGGTGATGCTCTTGGGCATGTCAAGTTCTGGGATGGTGAACAGTGTAGTATGCTTCAGACTTTCAACAAATCTCATCTTGCCGACGTTTTATGTATAGCCTCCAATAGAGATGGTACCGAAGTGTACACATCAGGAGTTGATAGGAAGACGGTTAAATTCCGCAAAGTAGATGACTTGGAGAATACGGGTAGCATATGGATAGAAACGGGGAAAAAGGGTTATCATTCTCATGATGTTAGAAACATGATATTGATTGAAGTTGGTAAAGAACAGGAAGTATTGGTGTCGGGCGGAACAGATCCTGCACTAGTCGTATGCCCTACCGTTCATTATCCGAACGTTACTCATAGAAGACTACAACATTTTCCACAAAAACCAATGATCTCAATTTCCAAATCAAAGAGACTATTGGCTTGTCCGTTCGATAATGGAGAGGTGCTAATATGGAAATTAGGAAAATATGCATATCCCAAAGAGTATGACGTCTCTGCACAAGATCCATCCTCTGTGAGATTGTCTTTGGCCGAGAATAAGAGTTTAATAATGAAACTGGTCACCAAAAGTAAACAGAATGTTGTTTCTTGTGCCATATCGGAAGATGCAAATTGGATCGCTGTCGCGTCAATAGACAGTGTTGGATTATACAGAATGGGTGAAGATATGCAACGTCCAGGACATTTAAAAAGACCAAAGAAAATGAAGTCATTTATACAGGAGGTAATTGTAGATGGCAAAAGTTCAACCGGAGCGCACAGAGTATTATTCACTCCAGATAGCGGTCGATTAATTACTGTTGCATCCAATTCCGTTATTATTATAAGCGACTTGACAATGTGGGTTGACGGTGTGTTCCCCGAACTTGCCAGATTCACGGAATACGCATCGCCAAGCCAATTGTCTATCACTTCTATATCAACAAGTGGGGACAATAAGTGGTTGGCGGTAGCTGATGATATGGCTAAACAAATAAACATTTACTCTCTTGATTCTTATCAACTGCACATGACTCTTCCTCAATTGACACCAGCCAGCTGTCTGCATACTAGTCTCGCATTTAATCCGTACTCATCGACGCTGGTTATTACATTTGCCAATAATCAATTCTACGTTTATGATGTTTCTGCAAATGCACTTACTCAATGGTCAGAGAAATATGCCAACGTGATGCCAGCGCGATTTGCCCGAATACAGGATAAGATCATGGGATGCGCATTTAATCCGGAGAATAGTAACCATATCGTACTATGGGGAAGCGGATATCTGTGTTCGATAGATATGCAATTGGAGATAGATGAGAGCCAACTGGATATTACGGTGAAGAAGAGAAAGAGGGAAGCAAATACTGTACGCGCGAATGAGAATTATAGGTTGAGTCATCATTATCAGGGTATAATGTTGGTCGAATTTATTGGAGAGAAAGAGATGGTGGTAGTGGAGAGACCATATACAGGCATATTAGAGAATCTCGGTCCATCGTTCTACCGTCCCCAGTATGGAACTTGATGTCGTTCATTTCGAATGTTTAATTAAAGACAGTTTCTGGCGGATTCTGTGATTGTGGGTTTACTAATATACGATTAGAAATATGCTACGCAATGAAGATAACTATACTTTGACTTTTCTTTCCATTTTTCAAGAATCGTTTGCATGTCTTGATCCACATTGGAAGCTTTCTCGACCTAGAAGTGGCAAAAGTATTGGGATATTTAATAGAGCAAACCAAGAACGTATCTTAATATAATATCAGCCATTGATTGTAACAAACCGAGCCTTGATAACGACCTGGCGAACAATGACTTGTGCAACATACTCACCATTTCAGCAAGTTGTAATATCGCTTTGCCCCCGAGCATTGCATCCTCGTGATTATCTTTGATTTCTACGTTAATGATGTGAACCGGTAAATTACGCTCTTCTCCCCTTCCTATTAAATCTGTTCGAGCATTTGTTACAAGTTGAGAAGTATTATTTGCAAAAGAACTCAATAATTCCAAGCATCTCGTGCATTTACAATTACCTTCACATACAGCGTCAAAGCACCGTTCTTCACATGTTACGATTACATCGTAGAATCCGGTCGTATCTTGCCAGCGCTCAGGTGCTCGTTTGATTTTTCTGTTGCGATCTAACATATCCAATAGACCATTTTGAGAATAACTATAAAGAGATAAAGGCACGATAGTGCTATCAAACTTCTGATGATTGACCGTTTGCTCATCAACTTGAACTTACAGTCTAAAGTCTTTCTTTTGTAGATCTTGATAGATGTGATCGTACGGTGTTCCAAACGGATATATATTGGGTTTATCTATACTTTGTCCTGGTAGACGGACTGCTGAACCAGTACCAAATGAAGCAACTTTAAAGCCCTTTTTACTGACGAGCATGAAAAGTAACGATAAATAAATTTCTGCATTAAACATTAGAAAGTACCAATAGATACGGGAAAACATTCACTTCTAACATACGATAGGGTATAGTGAGCTTCCATACTGCGGTTCTGATTACTAGCGCATATGATAGCAAAAGTCACCATGTTTATGTTCGTATCAGAGAAACAAACGATGTATCGACTAATATCAGTTTCGCATTGTGTTACACGCTGATTATAAACCCCACCCCCTTCTCTCCTTAGGTACCCATTTATTAAGGATGAAAAAGTTGTGGAAGACCTAATAAACAAGTTTTAGAATAGAGACAAGAAAGATCTTTGAGAATGTGGCTTGGGAAATAGAAGGGAAATAACCGTTATGAAAACTTCAGGTGATTTGAAAGAGAACAAAAAAATTGAGGCATTAGGGGAATATACCATCTACCCAATCCTTTTAATCCGATCTATACTGTATTTCGATATACGAGTCGTTTAGTGTCAGAATACCTGTAGTATCCAGGTTGGCAAAAGTGGCAAGCAAAGTTCTAAACACACATAAATTGAGATGCACGTAAGATTAATATGCTTTTAGGCAAGAGCTTAATACAACTATCCCTTTTTAGCTCATAAAGAATGTTCAGCCTTGCATTTTATTAAACGATTAAGCACGTAGTGCTGAAATGACTGTCTATCGTGTATCCACTGCTTACCAAGTTGATAACCGATTTTTGCTTGAATGGCATACCGATTACTACTGCATCATTTTGTCTTATGGTCAACAAGGGTGGCAATGGCGGGATTTAATATTAATATTCTCGTATTTAATAATTAGGTTAGTCTTGACAATATTAGTCCATGTCTAGACGAATATTCCCGATATTCGCTACCTTGCGAGTGGTGCGCAAAACATGCTTCGCGTAATTACGTCACGACGCAGTCTAACAATTTCCAGTTACAAAGTATTTTCTCGTTATCAACGAACAGAAGCAGTCCTCGAACATATCAGCCTCTAAGTCACTTTAATATCCTCCGCTAAGATACATCAGTCGTTCCTCCAGTATAACGTTGCCCATACTAAGAGGTTTCTCAGCTTCGGTAGCCGGGTACCTTCTTTGATGCGAGCATATGGTCGAATTAACCAGATACAGAGAGCGTCAAATTTCTGGAATAACTATTAAAATAATTATTTTATTTCTTTATGTTACTCCTCATTAAACTCTAGCAACAGCTCTGGAAAGAGTTTTTATATTCCTCTTTAGTATTAGGAAACTATTAGCAATTGCCTGAATTAAGTTTTCAACACGATTAACGCCTTTCTTCAGCTCCGTCTTCGAATGCACTAATAGTGCTTACATTTAATGCTCTTTTTCTTTTGCAATCATTATTGTCGATGCCATTAAACTTTTTTTATATAATTTTTGGTTTATATAATTTTGTTTTATATGAGGGTGACACAAGATTTATTATTATACAAAATTTTCATTTAATAAAATGGTGTTTGAATTCACAAGTTGCTTGGTGAAGGAAAAGCTGTTGCAGCTTCCACAATACGAAATTTTTATCTTCGACGAACGACTCCGCGGAAAAAGACTATTGAGGCAATTCAACGTTGGATTGACGAAAAAATGAAGGAAAATGTAAACCACTCAGATGGAGACAATGAAAATAAAGAAATAGATGATAATTATAATGTTATTAATAATAGCAATGATAAAAAAAGATTCCGATTTAGATTTGCACCAGAGTGACCACAGAATAGGTTATACTCATCAATGGCTTTGGGTCCGAGTATTCCTCCCATGCAATCACTCTGATGTTTTTATTATCAGAACAATCGCATTCTATTACTATAATAAAGATAATAAAATAATGCCTACGAAAATTGAATTATCGTTATGTAATTTGACTCTTTGGTTGTAGTTGCATAAAAGTAGTGAAATACGAATTAAGGCTCAACAAACAGTCCTTTATCAACGGGTCAAAACTATAAGGAATGATCTTTCATTGATAGGTTGCTTGATCAGTAGAGGCCTTGTGGAAAGCTTTTATGTTAAACTGTTTTCCTTTACGTTTTCGTTTCTTTCTTCATTCATCATGTGTTGGTGTTTATTGTAAACAAATCAGTCCATAAATTTGTGCACAAGTCACAGCCAAAATGCCATTAGTCAAATTAGTTAATTTTCGGTCACACCAGCTTCTCATTTGTACTATGCATATGATTGAATGGAATGCTGCAGTTTTCCTGATTCGATTGATCATTAACACCCGCCATACCGTGAATATGCGTATAAATGTATAAGCAAAAACTAGCGTTTGGGTCTGGAGATTTCACAGACAAATTGGTAGATATTAGTCTTCGATGAGACTGTATATTAATAATGTATAAGCATGACCTCACCATTAACACATCAGGTAAAAATTTGCCTTCCAATTACGGAAAACAATAAACGGATTCTAAATGGTCGGTTATTTATCTATAGATTTAATCGGATCACTTATATTTTATTTTCCGGTGACAAACCATTAATAAACTTTATTTTCATTTCGCTGTCATCTAAACCCACACCCAACGATATAGCGTATGTGTCTATCAATTTAAAATACATAGATTTACAACAACATAGTTCTGCGTTGGAGAAATGTTATTATCTGGGTGATTATCATAGCGTGAGCTAGACTTTTTGGCTTTATGCGCTACTATTGCAAATAACCTAAATATTCGTGGACTATCTTGCTGACCCCAATTTTTTGCATACCTGTTACTCCGGCATTTAAAATGTGCAAAGTTATGACTTCATATTCAGCATAACATTAACGAGAGCTTGCAAATCAGGTGACTATAATTTTGAAATGACGATAATGTTATTTGTATAATGTGCAGATGTTAATTACCGTCGTGAACCGCTATTAGCGATATAATCTATCCCTCACCAATAGACATAAGAACACAAGGTTATAACCTTTTTATAATACGTTTCTGGTTACTGTGGTTATGGTTTGCCGATCATTTGATATGGGGCGATAAATTCCTGCGTATCGATTATCATTGGATACAGTATGATGCATACTTGTGTCCCCATAAAATTTATATCATTCTAAAGCTAAATGATTGTAGGTCTATTTGAAAAATATCAGCAATTTCATGGTTGTCATATATACCCTCAAAATAAAAAGATCATACAATTAAAATCGTAATTGACATGATCATGGATGGCTTTTTGCAATTATCTTGGTTTCCACAGCATAGCACAATTAGTCCAGAGACAGGCAGTTGCTCAAGTGACATGGACACATTGATGTGACCAACCTCCACCATAACATACAGACCATCGTATAAGGTAAATTGTGATGTGCCACCTTGTTGAGCTTTTGTCAGTGTGATGTAAAAATCTAAATTACTGACAACTTGAATCCGAGCATGCAGTTCTTGTTATAAAAATCGATATCATCCTTATTAAACTCTGGATAAGATCAGCAAAGGCTGTAGAGTTTGTCCATCTCTTCCTGCACTTTTGCCGCCCCATATACATATCCCACATATCAACATCTGGCATTGATATTGAATCAATTGAACATGTTGCGAAAACCTCCACCGGTTTCGCAACAACGTCATTCTCATTAGCGAGAATGATGTCGAAAGATGAGGGCTACCAATATCCCAATAGGTTTGTAGGGACATTTGAGAAGCATACCTTCCAACTCCCGGACTACAGACAGTGATGCAACGATTGGTATTGAAAGGGGTCACATAGATTATTCAGACATAGTAATAGTCGAACTGGGTGTAACAGTTTAAATTATGGTTTTATTTTATGATAACATTTCGTTGCTTTAATTTTTATTATGTTATTCATTTATTGGGAGGCCTTGTATGTAGTAGTAGGTGAGTATGTGGTAAGGATGGTAGTTCTTTGTTTGTTTATTTTTAATATAGTAAATAAGACAACATCGACAGACAGGATTTCTGTTGATTGATTCACTCTAGCTATTATGTAGGAGAATGTTCTCCTTATCTTTGTTAATAATTCTCAATAAAAGCTTATTTGGAAAACTCAATTGAGAATAACACAAACGCATCAGAGCACCGCTGTTAGTAAAAAGTTTACCAACAAAGCCTAGAGAAAATACAGTCACCCGGCGAAGTAAATGTATTATTACTTTTCTTATTTACTTAATATGTCGGGCATAATTAAAAATACCCTTGTCTTTATATTTGCATTTTAATAATCTCAGTGAGGTTTGGACTGACTATAAACTTATAATAACAGTCTCAAATTTACTATAAGATGTTCGCGTTTTTAGACTTGTTAATTAAAATTTAGAAGATTACAAGTCGAAAAATATAATTTTTGCCTGATACAATCTAATCTGTTAATGTAAAAAAGCTTTTACATATGCTTTTTGTCAACTTACTCAAAATTTTATTCATAATATTAGGTTTAAATTGATTATAATATAGATCTAAAAGGAAGCCACTTTTCATCTTGGTTTTTTGCAAGTTATAATGTTAGTCTTGAACTTCTGTTAAATAAAATTTTTTTAAAAAATAATAAGAACAAAATTGATATATTAAAAAAATACTGGCTGCCATTATTTTTGCCAGGGACTGTACAAAGAAAGCCCAGGAACTGAACTCGGAGAAGCATTAAAAGCTATTCCCAATGAAACTAGATATTGCTGAAGATAAAATTGGGGTTGCTAATACAAATTTGAGTGACTTGACTAATCTCATTGATATCAAAAATGAGTCATTAAAGAATGATAAGAAAGTACAATTACAGTTTTTTGTATGAAAGTAATTGTAGGATGCCTGATACTAGATTGGAAAGCTTGGAATTTTGCATTCTTTATTTGTTTACACCTACAATTGAATGCTAAAGGTGTTAGATTGGAAAGCTTGGGCTTGTCCTTAGATCATAGTGCTCTTTTGGGAGTTGTTGGTGTTGGTTTGTTTTTTGAATTTGTTTGTTCTTCACTTGAATTATCTGGAGTAGATATGGATTCTACAGACTTAGT